ATTTATATTAGAATATATGCCAACCTCTACAATAATTTGCATCGTAACCAATGGGTTGTATAATCCAATTATCCCAACCTTTGAGTTCAAATAAATTTATTAAATATATTAAATTTTATTTTATAAAATTTATATATTCAATTTAATAATAATGCATAAAAGTTGTTGAATACAAACCAATATTAGTGAAGTTGACGTAAAAATGTTCTCTACAACAGGCGGTAGAATTAATCGTACAATCAATACTTCGACGATTTCTTTTTACCTTTTTGTATAGACAATAGAAATTAGATTTTAATTATTATAGTTAAAGGTAATTCAAAAAGCAAATAATAAGTTTGAATTAATTGAATGGTTTAATGTACAGTATATTACAATTTCATAAGAATGGTATGAAATTATATTTTTTTATGTTGACTTTGAAAAACGGAATTTGTATTTTTGAATCAAAAATTTTGATTACAATGAATAAATATATTGAAATATTTAAAAAAAGTGTTTCATTAAATCATTTCCATTAATAGATATTGACTATCTGGAAATGAATAATATGGTGTACTATTACATCAATCTTGGTTTATAATAAATAGTATTTTATAATAATATTGATAGAAAAACAAATAATTTTTGGTATAATTTGTGATTAATTTGATTAAGTATTCTTATTCAGCAAAATTATTGAGCAAAAAAAGCCTTCTGCTTAAAATTCAAATTTGTTTTGCAATCAAATCTCTCTATTCTTTAGATTTGTCAACAAATTCGTGATTAGATTCTCAATTGAGATGTTGTTTAGACAACGATCTCATCTAATATATGAATCTTTAATTTTTACGTTAGTTTTCAAAATATAAATAATAAAATGCTAGAATTCAATGCCAACTGTCATGAAAACTGGTTTGAGATATATTTATTTAATTAATGCAAAATTAAACAGCTAATTTATATTTAATAAATGTTAATTTGTAATTAATTAATGATTTTTTTCATACAGACCCTATTAACAGTATTAACAGATGTTTATAAAATCGGTAATAAAATTTGGGAATTATATTAAAATGCAATAAATTAACTGAATATCCAATAAAAAGTATGTTTTGTTCGACTATTTTAGAGTTAGAATCTATAATAAACAAGTGATACACTTTCAAAATTGAATATAACTGTAATATACTGTACTGTATATTATATACTTTACACGACAATAATTTATTAAGTAATAAATCGTTATTTTCATATTCTGGACGTCATTTAACGAAATGAATTAAATGTTGCATATAATTATCATTTTAAGTGCTGGTAAATCCAAATTATGGTTAACATGTACTTAACATGTGTTAGGATTTTTACCTCAAATCTCAATTTACATTATTCATTAGATTCACGTCTTTAGACAATTAATATGATGACAACATTTGAGAATATTCTATAAAAACATCATATTTTTATTGAATTCAAATGGTTTCACTTAAATCATTTATAATAATGGCTTTCATTCCTAGTTTCGGATATTTTCACTTAATTTATTCATTTTTATATGACTATCAATTAAAGTAACAAAAACATTAAAAATTATTAATAAATTATAGTATTTTCATATGAAATTAAATATAACTTATAATTGTTACTGATTAAAGTCTATTTAAAATATTGTGCCTTAATTAGATCGTTTAAATCGTATATAAATATGATAAGCATATATTAAATAAATACTCAACAAAATGTATATTAATTGCTAATAAATTATTAGTAATAATATAAATATTTTCTACTCGTAATAATAATAAGCTCACAAAATTGATTAAATATTAAACTTATAATTTATAACTTATAAGTTAAAAGCTATACTTTTTTTTATAAAACCGCAATTATAGTCAGTTATTGATAATCGCTAATTAACTTATGATTTATTAAATTACTAACTAAAAACATTGATCAGTATTTGCAACTAAGCAAATGATTAGCAATTATTGATTTTAAATCATGTTTTTAGTGATATGTTTGTTTGAATAACAAGTTATATTCAACGTCTACAACGCTTACTGTGATAAAAAAATTATAATTTAATTTATTTAATTATTTAAAATGAGTACTATTTAATTTAATAGTATCTATACTACTATTTAATTAATGAATTAATAACCCCAAATAAAATGCTATTCATTCATAATGATTCAGAATTTGTACATGTAATTTAAATAAAATTAAGATTAAGGATTCTTGACTAATATACCCTATTCTTCCTCTTTATAGCCCAGCTCTTTATATTATACAGATATAGAAGTATATTAATTGATTCAATATGTCCAATTAAATATGATAAATTTGTTTATATATTTTTATAACATGTTCTGTAATTAATCAAATTGGGGAAGAATTATTTTAAAAAAAATATTTAAAGTATGTTTTATTTAAAGTGCAAAATGTATGATAAACCAATTCTTACACATAGCTCACAAACGTATACATGTGTAACACTTGTTAACATTACAGAAGCAAAGAACATTGTAGGAAGAAGTAAAGGCAAAATAACTTACATTATTATAGTTGTGTTCAACCGTAATAAACGAATCTTTCATATCATAGCTCTCGCTGTCAAATGAGACCAATTTATTTGTTTTAATGATTTCTGGTNAAGCAAAGAACATTGTAGGAAGAAGTAAAGGCAAAATAACTTACATTATTATAGTTGTGTTCAACCGTAATAAACGAATCTTTCATATCATAGCTCTCGCTGTCAAATGAGACCAATTTATTTGTTTTAATGATTTCTGGTTTCAAAAGATCGGTTAAATCGTATTGAATCCAATTGGGAAGCGATTGTTTGTCTGCCACCGTCTGCGGGCTAACGATCCCAAGAACTCTCATATTACTGATGTCTTGATATCGAGTTAACACTCCATTAACGGGAACTGCTGTCGATATAACAGTGAGTTCGCTCTCAACACTATTGTCGTCGATATTAACAGTTAGAAGTGATGGCAATTGCTTTACAAATAGAGTTATCTTTTTAATAGAGTTAAGTCCGACCGAAAACTCCAGGCTTTTAGCGATAGATATATTAAACTGAGGAATATTTAGTCGCTTAACAGTTGGGAAAATAAATATTTTATCCGATTCTAAGGGCTCGACCTTTGGTGCCGTTTCGGGCAACGGAACAGAGGACTGCACTAACGACGAGGCCTCTAAAAATTGCATGTCTGCAAAATAAATTCATTAAATTAATTAATAGTTTAATTTAGTAAAATTAAAAATTCACAAATAATAAACATTACAATTATTTGTTTCAAAGTTTTTATGCAATAGTTTGGGCGCTTCACTCATCCCTAATTTGGACAGAATTTGTTGTTTAATATAAGCCAAACGTTGATTGTATTGGTCTTCTTTGAAAGACAACAGAATCTTCTCTTTATTACAAGAGTGACATGACTTGGACTTCACTTTTTTGGCCGACATTTGGCTTTGTTTTAATAAAAGTGATTGATTTAAAGTGAAATTTTTGCTTCTGTAAACATTGCCAGTATTTAATACATTGGTATCAATTTGTTTGCTTTCAAAACTATCCAAAAGAATTTGATCGGAATTTTCAGCCTCTAAGACAATATAAGAAACACAACTTTTGTTCATAGAATAGCACAACAGCACAAATGCTGTCAATTGTAAACTCAGATTTAAATTCATTTTTGAAAACTTTTTTGAAAGACTTTTTGTTGAGAAAAAGAGTGAACGAAATGAAGCGAAATGTTTGCTCAGAGAGTGTGAGATCCCAAGTGAGTGTCACTTCTCACCAGAATCTGCTTTTGCCTCGACTTTCATTTCGAAGTTTGTTTTGCTGTAAAGAGAAGTCACTTCTGATAAACAAAAGTAATTTTAAACATTCAGACATTCAACACATATAACCAATTAGTGTCTGACGTATTGATACCTTAGATTAGTTGCCAGTAATTGGGTTCCAGTTGTTAGTTGTCCTCCGTATTCAACTCTCGTCTATCAAAAAAGTGTTAAAAACTAAATTAATTAAAGGCCGGCAGCGCATAGCAACACACCTTTCTTTAACTATACATATCATAGTTATAGCTGTATTAGAAATGTGTGTTTACTGTCCCTCTCGTCGACACTTTTTTGACAAAACCTTATATATTTGTAAATCCACTTCTTATACGTTGGCAACAGGTTTAAGCCCTGAATAACATTATAACATATTTCCTCGTTTTTATAGATACTCTATTCCTGTCCCACATCTTTCTCTCTCCCTTTTCCCATCTCTTGTTGCATATAATGTATGATAAACACAGACAGACGCAACTCCGCGCCTGCATTACACCCATTCCCCAACTTTTTATGCCAATATCCTTGACATTCCCTCTCAAAGGTCTCATACAAACAAATTGTATTCAAATCGGACACCAAAGACCTTTGCCTCAGACATGATTATCACATGTTTTGCATTCAACAACAATTTCAAATCGACTAATAATTTTGATCATTGGTTAATAAATCTATTAAAAAACAGATTGAATTTTGTGCTCAAAACAAATATATCCTATAATTTTTGAATACATTTATGTAAAACTTTGGCAAAACTATAGAATTTCTATAATAGAAATGAAGCTAAAGTTTAGCCCAAATAGCGATCAAATTTGAAAAACATATTTCTATAAAAACAATTTTTTAATAATTGCATAACATATGTATGATTTTGCAAATAACTAATAACTTGTCAATTTTTACGATTAGCTGTAAATCATCGCAATTATCTTATCTTCAATTTATATATTTAAATTCAATTAAAAATTAAATAGCATTTTAAACAATTGTGTGAATATTAATTATGCTATTATTTTGTTTGCATTTATATGTTTGCAAAATGTTATAAAATTTGGTTTAAATAAATAACAATTCTTTTGAAAAAGTTTAAATGATGTCATTTAAGTGTTTAATAATAATTTAACTAATTGTCTAAAATGGTCAATAATTACAACAAGGTTTGCGGCAAAGCTATGGCTTAACCACAAATTGGATGATGCAAATAGAATAAATAGTCCTTAAATAGAAATTAAAATACAAATTTAACTTTTATACAAGGCCTGGGCCATCACTGGGCCATGCTGGCCTGGTCACCATTTGATATGGAAGTTATAGCGCATGATAAGAGGTCTTCGTGGATGGTGTCCATTTGGTCGTAGGACCTCGGGTTCGGGAATAGTGACCACTTTTATTCGGCAAATTTTTAGACACATTTATTTTATTCGATGAATAAATATGTCATATGATATATCAATGGATAGGATTTGATGAGTAGAATACAAATACGAAGGAATCGCTTAATTTCAATATACCATTAAAAAGTTATGGCAAAAAGAAGCTTTAAAATATAATTATTTTACGTTATTTATGATTTAAAACGTAAATTATGTTAAGAGCATTTTAAGATCAAAAATGGAGACATTTTATCATGTACTAAAATATTTTGTAAAATTATCATTTGGTCAAAATGGCCCAGTACTCCATGTAAATCCTATATACCGATGTCCTTGTCCTTTGTTTAAAGTTTTGTTTAAACCAATAATGTCGTACAGGGTGTATATTATGTCACCAAAAATTCAAAGTCTACATACATGTATGTTCAGTATAAAATATGACATTGACCAATAATATGAGTAAAAATGGATGGTGTCCATTTGGTCGTAGGACCTCGGGTTCGGGAATAGTGACCACTTTTATTCGGCAAATTTTTAGACAAATTATTTTTATTCGATGAATAAATATGTCATATGATATATCAATGGATAGGATTTGATGAGTAGAACACAAATACGAAGGAATCGCTTAATTTCAATATACAATTAAAAAGTTATGGCAAAAAGAAGCTTTAAAATATAATTATTTTACGTTATTTATGATTTAAAACGTAAATTATGTTAAGAGAATTTTAAGATCAAAAATGGAGACATTTTATCATATGTACTAAAATATTTTGTAAAATTATCATTTGGTCAAAATGGCCCAGTACTCCATGTAAATCCTATATACCGATGTCCTTGTCCTTTAATTGTTGATCAAAAAGAAACTGCTATCAATGAAAAATTTACTAATATTTTGTTGAATTCATTGTTATTCACATGAATTGTTATGTATTTTTAAAAATCAATGTTTCCAATGGTATTACAGCATTAAGCATAGAGAACATAATCATAGAGAACATGACTTAACCCATAGACTTAGACCTATAACTTATAGGCTATAAGAATGTTAACATTGCCCATAGAATTACATGAAAAATTTAATAAAAAATGAAATATTTAAGCTGTAATTCAGTTTTAACACTCCATTCCGAGGGGAGAGGCGTCGAGAGCTTATAAACCCCATTATTCACACTGAATTGTGGTTAAAAATGTTACATTTTTGATATAAAATTAATCTGAAATAAATACTTTGTTCAAACATTTTTATACGTTTCACATTCTAAATAGCATTTCATTCCCTGCCTTACAATAGAGCTATTCGTTCGCAAATTATATCACTTTTGACATAAATTTTTAACATTTTATTAATTAACACTAAATTTAAACAAATTTTGTTTTATGAATAAAGAGTACAAATGGACTGTAATTGTGTGCCAATTGTATGGACACAATCACCAATCGTTTCAACCATCAACTTCTTCTATGCCGTGTCTATCGGTTTAATCTATTGATCAATCCTTGAACCAAACATTTGTTGCATTCTTTGGACATTTATTTCAAAAACTCATCCAATTTTAACAATCATTTTATTATTTTGAATCGAAATTATATCGATTTTGTCAAATATTTTAAATAAAGACGTTTTTTAGTTACAAAACTTATATATGTTATATTATAAATGTGTATGAATTGTTCTATATACAAAATCGGTCAAATGGTTAGAATTAAACATTGATTTGTCCTAAACTAATGGTAAGTCCAGTAAATGATGAAAATTGCATTTTGGCCAAAACTTTTAAATCCACATCAATACTACTGTTTAGGCTCTTATATTACAGAGACTCCTGTATACAAAGCAATTGATTCAAACAAGTAATACCTGAGCATGGTTATTTCATGTAAACCACATGTACAATAGTTAGACTTATCTCAGGTATGATTAGAAATATAGTAAATCTGCTTAAAGTAAGTCTTAAGAGGTTTGAGAATTGATGTGAAATAGTTGTACCAAAAAAGTGGTCATTTATGGAGAGACCCATTGAATGGTTCATCACTTCATTGCTTAACAAACATTTCAATTGTGTTTTGAATACAATTTAATCGGATTTTCAATTGATTTTTCATAAATGAATTGATTTTACATTTAAATGTGTTTTCAGTAATCATATGACCAGT